CGGGGCCCATGGGAGGGGGGTGGGGGACGGGCCACTGAGACCCTGTGCACCCTGGGACAGCGGGCCAGGCGGAGGCTGGAGGTGGACCCGGCAAGAAAGGAGAAAACACACGCGCCCCTGTGGCCACCGGGGCGCCCTCGTTCGCACCCACCATCCCTGAGAGGCCCCTCCACACGCGGAGTAAAAGCGCTTTCCAAGCGAATACCTCCCGGCCTCAGGAGAACCTGTGGTTCAGACTCCGAGAAAGGCCTTAGGGAGGTGCAGTGGGCAGGCGGCCTCTCCCACCCTGGGCTGGGGTGTCCTCGGCCTCATCCGGGTCCTGCGAGTACGTTCCTGGGCTGTGGGACGGAGGGGAAGTAGGGTGCAGGCTGCGTTAGGGGTGTGATCAGCTGACTTCAAGACAGGGAGCCTGGGCTCCCCAGGTGGGCTGGGGTGATCACGGCCCTTGCAAGTGGGCGAGGGGCAGACGTGAGGTCGGAGTGCGCCCACTGAGAAGGCCTCTCCCCGCTGATGGCTGTGAAAGCGGACCAGGGCCCCAGCCAGGGAATGCGCAGCTCCAGAAGCTGGAAAAGCAGAGAAGGGGGTTCTGCCCAGAGCTCCGGCAGGAAAGCCTAGCAGGGCTGGGGCCGGGGAGCCTCCGGAACTGCAGGTGACAACACCCCAGGCTGCCGTAAGTCTTACCCTGTGCCTTTGACACTGGCTGCAGGGATTGGGGTCACGTGTGTAACGTGCACACACAGACACACGCTCTACTACTCAGCTGATGGTCAGAACAAGTCCGTGCATGGGACACATTAACATTTCCCACGGGGGAAGTGCGGCGGGGTCAGGACCCTGCCCTGGCGCAGCTGGGGTCTGGCTTAAAGCAGAGTAGAAATCCCGCAGCTCTTTGTTCAAGGAGCTGAGGAGGGAGAGAGTTAGAATCCGAGGAGAGGAAGGCCACAGAGAACAGGGACATGTGCAGGGACACCTGGATTGCGAGCGGACAGAAAGGCCCAGACTGTAGGAAACAAAGTAAGCGAAGAACGAAGATGCGGCCCGGTGAGGAACTCCACTCCCCGCCCTCTGCGCGCCGCCTCCAGGCGCTTGAGCAGCTCGCGGGCGTGGCCGCGGAAGGCCTCGGGCGCGTAGACGCACTCCTCGGAGAAGTAGTGCAGGCGGCGGAAGTGCGCGTACAGCACCACCTCCTTCTGCCACCCCAGC